GCACAAAGTAGTGTATTTTCTTGAGAGGTGAACTTCAGGGGTGCAGCCTTGCCACCATCCATGTCTCTGGCTGCTTGCAATCCGTGTACTGCAATTCACACCCTACCAGCTGTGTTGCCAGTCCTGTCCTCAGCCTCATGCTGTAAACCAGGGGAGTGAAAGCACTAACCAAGTCCAGGAATTGCTCACAGTGGCTTCACCTCAGAAGCCAGAAGATCCTGGAGTGCTTTCAGAAGCATGTTATGCCCAGGCTGAACATCTTCATCTGTCCTGAATTCCAGCTGCAAGATGAGAGATCTGTTGGTTTATGCTCATTCTTTCTACTTCCAGTGAGAATCTAAACACTTGTTACAAGGTTTCAGTAAAGACTATCTGAATTTAGCCTATATTTAACTCATGATAATGACAGCTGCTGCATTCTGTAACTGTGAACTCTGCTTGTGGAGTGCTTTCCTTTCTATCTTTAGATGCTTGCAGCCTCTATGTGTACAGAGCAAGACAAAAGAATGGGGTTTGTTCTGCTGTTTATTATAGAAACAGTCTCAGGTGCTTCATAAGATCCCTCATGTATGTAAGACAGCAATAGTACTTTTGATAGTTTTATGCCACCTTGGAATGTATATTCCATTTCTGTAGTGTCTGGAAAGGTTACAAGAATTGTCAAATTTTTAATTACATTTTGAGTTTGTATGTGATTTTCTCAGATGGTCCAGGAGGACTGATTGATCATTAAACCCACATATTCAGTGCTTGTAACCAGTGCCTATATAGTGAATCTGGTGACCCTCTACATATCCTTTTTCTGGTGAACCACACTTGTATGCATGTGAGAACAGACTAGTAGCCAGGTTCTGCCCCAGAGTATTGAAGATGGGACATATAGGAATAATAAGTAGCTGAGTAATTAGGGCTTGTGTGTGGAATGCTTTGGTTTACATCTCTGACCTGTTTATTTACTTGTACCAAACATGAATACTCCAGTAGGACAGATGGCATAGACTAGCCAATGCATGGTGTTTGGGATACCTCTCCATGTCCCAGGCAGTGTCACTCTACCAGTGCCTCACTTCCCTAAAATGATAAATAAAAATTCCTGGGTTTAGAAAGAATTATTTTGCAGTTAGATACCTCCAGCCCTACCTAGTCACAAATGAATAGTTGTTTTCCTGGTTATCTACACACTGAAATAGTGGCAACATTTTGGATTACAAGATGAGCAGTGGCATGTGTCCAGCTCCTATGCTGAAAAATTCTGTCAATACTGTGGGGGTAGTGTGTATTTGATAAGAACAGATCTCTTTCCCCCTTTATGGAGTTTAAATTGCTCTTAAAATTCCCACAGAGTGCGTGGGCTGATCACTGCAATAGCTAAATGTGGCATTCTTAGGCTTTAATTTGTGCTGCTAATTAACGTAGGTTTGGTGGGGCTCTGCACAGGTCATGTCAGAGGCAGCAGAAGTGCAGTAGCACAACTCCTCTGGGAGGAACCCTTCTTTCATCTTTCCAGCTATGCTGGGGGATGCTAGGGGCAAGCTGTCCCTTGTGGTTGTGGGCTCATGCTCACACCTACACTGTTGGGTGGAGCCAGAGACCTGTTAAGAACATGTGTTTGGTGAAAAGACTGCTGTGCCGATCCAGAAACCTTCCTCTCCTCACCTGCCATTGTATGCATACTGCCTCTTACCTTGCTTCAGAAATGATCCTAACCACAATGCAAGACCAAGTTGCCTTCAAATCCCATCCACCTGCACCGATGATAGCAAAGTTGCAAGGATTTCAGGGACTCAGGGCTGCCCTGAAACATCCCTAAGGGTGAACAGGATAAACAGAGGCAACTGGAGACAGACAGAAGCAGAGTTTTGAGGCATATGCACGTGGAAACTTGATACATTAGAACGTCCAGGACACATGCAAAGTTTCTTTCCATTCCCTTCCCCAAGGGTACAAGATGGACTCTCCCAAATTGCCCTTGAGGGCCCACTAGAAGCTAAATAATACAGGTAGATAGTGAATGACACCTCAGAGACTCAGCTACAAGGGCTATGCAGGCAGACCTAGCATTGATTTTCATTTTGTTAATTGCTTTTCAAAATGGGATTAGAACTGCATGTGATATTCATGGTGTAAAAGCACCATGGATTTGTGCAGTGGCAAAGTGGTCTTTTGGTTTTCGGCCCCTTTACTGACACACATTTTTCCCTTTTTAACTGCTGCTAACTTTCACAGTGTTATTTTCAGAGAACCATCCATAGTAATCCCAGGTCTCTTTTGGAAAAGTGACATTTGATATCATGCCTATATGAACATACTAGGATTTCTTTCCTCAAACTCAAGAAATATCCATTATTTTGTATTGCCAATACCAGATTCCATTTATCATCTTATCATCCTTTTGCACCTTCCATTTTCGCTATTCTGAAACACCTAGAGATATAATTTGCAGACTTTGTCCCCTGCATATTCATCTTCTTGTCTGAACCATTCCAGGACATTTCTGATAAAACAGTAAGATCCCAGGACTCCCGTAGAATCACACTGATAACCCTACCATCTATTCCTAATGTCCATTTACCCTTTAAGCACATACTGGTATGTCAGACCTTCTCTTTTACCTCATCAGAGCTTCATTTCCTTACAGACTTTGATGAGAAAACTTGTCAAAAGTTTTCCAGAAATTCAGTTTGTTATAGCACTAGATCATTAGTACACACTCAGCAACACCGCGGCAGGCTCTAAAAGACTTTTGAGGCATACCACACAACATTTTATTACCCTGTCAATGTTTTTTTGGCCTACATCTGTTTCTTTTAGTTTCCTCCTAACTATTCTCCTAACTTTTATGCCCTCCCTTTAAAGGTTGTAGCAGGTTGCTTTACACCCACAAACATGTTGAATTTGAATTATGAGACAGTTACAAAGTAAGAAACAAGAGTTAAACATTGAACTAAATTTTATTTACTGCTCAGGATTAAATCAAGAACTGTTACTCCATTTGTGGATTCTCTGATTAGGTCCAAACATTTATGGCATTTATGGAGTCTAACAACATAAACACAGTGTGATAATACTTTACATAATTACTAGAATTCTGATTATTATAATCTGCATTAGCTAAAAGTATAAAGTATATACCATGTATAATATATTAATGATCATATAGATGTCAAATAATATGTAATCATATAAAATGAAACCACAGATATTAAGACCACTTACTAAGATGCATGTAAACTATGTCATGAATATTTCAAATAGCTGAACCTCATTGTTAGGAATATTGAAGGAAATTATGTATAACCCCGTCCGCCAAATCACAAAAGAACAGATATAATGGATTTATGAGAATCAAAATAAAAGGAATAAACATATATCATCTCGGCTAAACAAGGAGACCACAGATCTCTAAATTGCTTTGGAAGCTGACAAAACACCAAGGTGGAAAAGAAATAGTTTAGACAGTTATAAACAAGCAACTGCATTAGCTCAAGAAAAGAAAGGAGTACTTTGAATACCAAAAGAACTTCCATTACGTGACAAAGGGCTATATTTTATATAAAAAATTAGTATCAGCATTCATCAATGGATCTTAAAATACTCCAAGTAGACATGTATTATTTTATTCATAAACTGTCATGCTGACAGTTTAATGGTCTTGATCACGTCACCCAGAAAGCCAATAGTATAGCCGACAATTAATCAAAGATTCTCTGACTCTCAATTCATATTATGATACTGTATTTTTTCTTGGGTAGAAGCAGGCTGGAAGGTTCAGGTATTCCTTTGAGGTGAAGCAGGTACAATAAGAAGTTAGATGAGAAAGAAACTAGGGATCTTAGCTACTTCTGTTTTTTCAGGCCCAACCTGATCCAGCTTTTAATAACCTTATTTTCATTTCATGAAAATGTAAGCCATTTTCAAGTGTTCTCCAGTCAGGCATGTAAATGCTTACTCACCCACAATCACTAGTCACCTTTCTCCACATTTAGCCTGAGAGACTCCTTATGGCTGGTCTGGGACACTTCACAGTAATTTAATCAAAAGGGAAATTGCTCATACTCCAGTCTAATACTCAATTACTTCCTTTCAAAAACAGTTACAAGTAATTTGTTCTCATTTGTGGGAATGTTTTAGAAATAGATGCCTATTAAACTAACCAGCTTGGACAGCTTCTCATCCACTCCATCCCTGGAAGAATTTACCTCCAGTTACACTGCCTCTAAGGGAACCATCACAGAGGTCACCTCTAGATTTTCTGCTTCAAAGAGAGAATCCCTGAAGTGAACCATCAGCAAATTAGCAAAACAGCATTTGCCAGGTCTGCAGCAGTGCTTGCAAAAGAAGTGCTTACAGTGATACAGACTCAAAAATAGAGGGTACTGGCAGCATGAAGGAAAATGCATATGAGAAAGTCTATACAGAAATCTAGTGTAGGGTGATAGGCAGGGCAGGTGAATACCATAAAGATGATTCCAGTCAGTGGCATTATGCCAGTTTTGGCAGCTGTAGATCTACTTCAACACATCTGTCCTCTTGCAGTGAAAGTATACCACTCAATCATCTCTTCCCAGTTCACATTCACTCCAGTAACCCTGCTTTCCATCTTTTAGGCTTTATTAGTAATACATCAGAACCTACTCTGCATCCCTGTTTCTCCAGAAGTTATACTGCTTTCTCTCTATTTTCAGTGAATGGACATACATGTCCAAATCAACCTGAAGGCTGTTCTACAGTCATTGCAAGGAACCTAGCTTAGGAGATATATTCCCCAGAGACAGCCTCAAGATGGAAATTCAGAGCATGATCTATAATTCCTGCAATCACCATCTACAGAAATGAATTTCTCTCCACTGACTACAGAGGCCCCTAAGGACATTAAGCATCATCTCAACTAGACATGTAAATATTTCATGGTGCTCAACATGTAGAAAGGACTGCAGGTAATAGCAAGAGTATTAAAAAACAGTTATAGAACACAAGCAAAAAATTGACAGTGAGCTTACTCTGAAAACTTTTTCCACCCTTGCGATACCCTTCCCAAAGATGGTTCCAAGTTGGTCTCCAATCCCAGCCAGCAAGAAGCCAAACAGCGGAATCCCAAAGATGGCATACAAAATGCAAAAAACCTTGCCTCCAACAGTGCTTGGAGCTATGTTCCCATATCCTGAGGAGAAAAAGAGTTGTCAGACTCTCAGAATTTATACAGGGCTTTTTAGAAAAACTAATGGGCTGTTCCTGCAGGGAGATATTTCTTCAACATGTAATTCCTATTTACAGACTTTCCGTGGCATGATGCCATTTCCCAGCAAGCTACCTTTTGTGATTTAGTTCTTCTTGTAGTCTCAGTTACCCGTATTTTTTATAGATTCAGGTCCTATCTAAAGTTGTTGTTAGATGAATTAATCCAGCTTAATTTATCATGGCACAAAAATCACTCCATCCTGGCCTGGTGCCTGTGTGCTGCTGCTCCTCTCAGGCCATGCCAATGACTTCCTGGCAGGAGTATAACTCACCTGACAAGTCTCATTTTCAGCAGTTAGCTCAATAATTTCCTCAGCCACTCATCACACTGACTAGTTACACCACAGCCTCAAAACTACACAAATCTGTGCTTGAACTCTTCATTCAATTCCCCTTTCAATTTGACAATAAAGAGCCTAACATTTGTATTTCATGAGGTTTTTAAATAAGTTTTAACAAGGAAGTTTTTTAACCTCCCCTCTGAAGATCCTGCTACATTTATATTTTAAAATCATTGATCCTATAATAAAGGATCCTATAATAAACATACATACCTTCCTTCCACCCTCTGTTAGGGTAACCCAGATCTGTTGAAAAGGTGACAGATTCTGACCAAGACATAATTTCCAGCTCCATATCCTGACTGAAAACTATTTTTGGCCCAGACATGTTTGTTTACATTTAATTTCCATTCCCAGCCTTGTAACTCCTCTAATACTGGCAGAAAAAAAAAGGTCTAATTATCAGCACAGGTTACCTAAAAGTCCATCTGTCTTTTAGATGCCTGAGTCCATCACAGTCTCCTGCTAGCTATTCCAAAATCGTCTTTACCTTGGCTTTTCTATAGCCAACATGTAAATAGGCAGCTGATCAGGCAATTGAGAGAGAAGGAAGTAGAAGGCATACGTAATGGGCCCTTCTCACCCTGAAAGGTAGCAGGAATCTCATTTGGAGCACTCCTCTGTGGTATTCTTAAAAGTCTAACATGCTGATGAATGCACAGGAGAGTTTTCCACCTGTCCCATGCAGTAATCTACATTTAGTCACCACAGTTTATTCAGGCGTTTCTTCTCTTCCCCGCATCACCCATGTGAATTTGACTGTAGGGATCTATGTAGAGCATTATGACTCTAGTAGCTGTTAAAATATTAATGTTAAAAAGCAAAATCAAAAACTGTCACAGCAGTATTTGCAATTTTTTATTTAAGATCAGGTATCTTTACTGAAATGTTGCAGAGATTTGTATTTTGACTGACATATTTATCTGGAAATTAAAAATGATCATGTACAGATCACAGATGAGATAAAGTGGAAACACAGACCATTCAAAGAGATGGCGATCTACGAAAGTGCCCGCTCCATCTACAGCAATTACTCCTGGTCCTTGGGAATTAAGGCTGGGCTCCAAGGTCCTAATCCTGCTAGGTCTGTGACACTGGCACTGGATGCATCTGTCTATTATGAGATGCTGAAAGGACTATGCTGACATACAACACTGCCTACCCCCCAACCCACAGTCCCTTTGATGGCTGTATCTGTGATCCCAGGCTTCTCCTTAATGTCCAAGAAAATCCAGGGTACACAGGCCAGCGGACTGAGGTTGACCAGGTAGTCTGCTGAGTGTCTGCCTAAGAGGAGCTCTAACAGGGCTGAATGAATGAAAGATGAAATAAAATAATTCTCATGCCCAGACACAATACGTAGACTTTATACAGCCTACAAAAATATCATTCATGGAGAATTTAAAGCAAATATGGGCAAAAATCCAAGCTCTTTTCAATAAGTTATTTAAATAGCAGATGTCAATGAATATGCCTACATAAACTATGCCTACATAGTGGCATTTATTTTAACGAGCAATTTAAAAGATTGTCACTTGGGTCTATTGAGTAAACAAATATTAAGGGAGGGTTTTCTTACATTTTATTTTGAAATGTTTTCTTTCTCTCCACACCCTGGTTTTATGTTGCCATTAAAAATACATGGTAATGTGGCTTAGTATGTAGAGGAATGCAGAGAAGAGTACACTCTATACAATCACTCTGGGAACACAGAAAAAGCAGAGCCAAAGGCACAGACTCCACTGTTTGAGATGATCACCACAGCAAGCCTTGTAAATGCCACAGGATTTTTTTGTTCTATTAGCTGCATAAAGAACTTGCAGAATTCAGTCAGATTCTCACACTTTAATGAAGGATTGTGTGATTGTCAGATTATTTGTCTATACAGTCACTAGTGTGTGTATCTCAGTTATAATATGGAAAAGAACTGTATCCCATATTTAAATCGGAAGAATACTCAAAGCCCATACAAAAAAAACCCCTAGCAATTTGCCAGTAGGTTCCAAATAATCTTCTAAATGTGACAGCAATGAAATCAAGCTTAAAATTGTCAAAACACTGTATAACTATCAGCAGTTTAACCTTATCATCACTGTTATCATTTTATCATTTTTTTCCCCTCAGACTATCTTCTGAAATCCCAGTTGCCTGAACAATCTTCAACAGAGGAACTGGCTCACAGAGGAGAGGATAAAATCCTTAGTATATCTAAGGCCAGCATTCAAAGATCAAGAGATTAAGTACATTGTATACTATATATATAGGGGACACAGACAACAAGGATCTACATAATGAACTTACTAAAATTAATTGTTCAAGAAAAGTAAATAGAGCAGTTCAGTATACCCTTCATCTAATATAGAGAAATGTGTCAATATTTTAAGGACATGAATTCTAGAATGGAAAAAAAAATGCAGAGTTTTCTTATACAATGTACAATTCATTAAATTCCTTCCAAATATTAGTATAATAGCGAGGAAGGATTTTTAAAATGATGTGATACTCATGTGAACACATTTCCAGTTACAAGGAGTAGGTTCAGAGCATAAGCCAAGATTAATTGAGGTACTTCAGAAGCAAGCTACCCTTATGGGTAAATTAATCTATAATAATAAAATCTAAGTTCCCAACAGCTATACAATAGTTATCTCATTGGGTACTGGTTCTTGATCTTTCTAGCAAAAATTAAAACCTCTTGCATCAACAGGGTTATAAAGCCTTAGCTACATCAATGCTACTTGGTTGCAGTTCAGCATTGCTATTCTACCCTAATTATGTGAACAGTTTCTGATCTTTACCAGGAGACTCAATGCCCTTGACACATACCAGAGGCATGCCTTCTAAGAACTGAGATACAGTTTGGCCACTTTATTTCTTTAAGATCTACCTTCATCAAATTTATTGCATTATCCAGCTCTCAGTGTGACTCTGTATTTTAAAAGATAAACATACCTATAGTTGTGATGACTGTTCCAGCAAAGAAAAAGGCACTTCCAAGGTCCCAATGACTGCTGTTGTTAGAGGAATTTCCTATGGGACTGACTCCTGCATTATCAGCATCAATAGCATGCTGCAAAGAAAGAGACAACAAATCAGCCTTATGCATGCCATACCATATCCTATGCAAGTCAATATATTCTCCAAAGAGAAATTTCTAGGACCATGGAAACAGTTTAGATCTAAACTTTTAAATACCGGCTCAAAGTATAGTAACATCCCCTGTAGACAAGAACTGAATGTATGACTGAACTAAATCGCTATTAAGGTGGAAGAAAGATACAATTCATAGACAAATGACAAAAGATACAAAGCAGTTGAAAAGTAGAGCACCAACTTCACAAAGAGATCCATAAATATTGTTCTTGTAGTAATAACTGTCAAAGGAAAAATTCTCCAATGAGAACAGCTGATGTTAGAAGCAGCAAGAAGGGTGATAAATGCAAATAGTGTTCATGAAGTCAACTGAAGCCAGTCAGTCAAGGATTTTGATTCCCAGACAAATAATAATTAAGGTATTTACCTTTTATGCTAATTGAAGAAAAAATAGGAGATAGATAGATAGATAGATAGATAGATAGATAGATAGATAGATAGATAGATAGATATCCCATTTGAAATTAACAAATAGGATAGCTATGAAAACATCATGAAACAACTTTGTGATCAGATAGAACCTCCCAGTTGTCACACTGGACATGGCTGCATGTCCACAAATACAGCATGGTAGAGAGACTCCCAGCTAATGCTTGAATGAACTAAATCCAGAACAGAAGCTGAGGTAGCTATACTGCTTCCAGGTCACAGTGCTGTGTCTCACACAGCACTGAATCGAACCAGGCAGACATATCAGCCTGCTAAAAGTTTGCTGGGGAGTTTCTAAAAGTGCACCGTATTTTATCATGGGGACATACACATTTGCCTTTCACTGAAGCTTCAAAGCCCAAAGGAAGATAGAGCTAAATACATCAGCCTCCAAAGCACAGAAATATATCTCTCACCAGAAATTCAGCATTCAGCTGAATTGCTCTAAATTCACTTTTGAGATGCCCTTTGGCACATAATCTCTACTTGCTTGTAGATCTCATGCAATCCATGGCCTGTTGCAGAGAAATTCAGACCTCACCCTGGAAGAGCAGCTAAAATGACTGCCTTTCAAAGTAAAGCTCTCCCTCTCAAATGTTTCCAGCTGTGATTAATTTCCATAAAACCAGTGCAAAGGAACCAAGCTTCTCTCTTTCTGCCTCTTACAATTTCCAGCTCTTTGCCTTTCTTCCATTCTGTTCCAACCTCACTTCGCGTTGCTGTCATAATGCTACTCACACTACTACCAGATCTTCCCCTTCTCTCTCTCTCTCTGACATTTGCTCCTCCTCCTAAACATTGTCACCAGGCTTTAGCCTTGGTTATTTCAGTGAATTTATTGCCAGGCTGAACAGGATAAGCAAAGTGCTGCCTCTTACATCCTTTCTTTTTTATTCAACACAGAATTCCCACCTATCAATACGAGTTTGTTCTGACTTTTCTCATTCAATTTTTTTAACCACTTCCCTTTTCCCTCTGACTTATGATCTATGAATTGTCACTGTGATTTTTTATTTCACTTTTTTTCTGTACAGTCCATGTGCAAAAAGCAAGGTTAACCATTCTATTTTACCATTGCTCCACTTCTCATCTTCATGGCTATGATTTCGCTCCTGATCTTCTCTATAATCTCTTGTGCTTTTAGCAATGACTTTTAAATACATCCATTTAACACCTGTCCTATCCCTAGCTTTCATGATACACTTTTCTCCTCATTCACCTCTTCTCTCTCTGATGGCTCATCTATCACATTTTTTCTTTTCTTCCCCTTCCATTTTGCACTTTTCCTCACTCATTTTTTGGCTGTATTTCCAACTGACTTCATTGTCACTAATGTTCCTCTACCACATTTTCAGCTCATCTGCTCCCCTGTGCCCCACAAAAAGGGCAAGGAGTAGAAGAGGAACACGAGCAAGAACAGAGGCCAGGTATATCTAAAGAGATCAGTCCAGGACAGCCTTTTTTAATGATAGAGCTGCTGCATGCCAGGATAAACTGATTGTGAAATTACAGCATGACCAAGCTCCAGACTGGACTGGTTGCATTTCATGTGGGCAGAAAGCCAGGGTTCCTCCGCACCTGTCCATACCACAAGAAATAGTGATATAGAGAAGGAAGTGTTTAGAATCAAACCCTTTGAAAGGGTTTCTGTACCAGTTACTGGCATATTGCAGGTGGTGTGAAAGCAGAGATCATGTGTTTGTTTACCCAGAAGAGCATAAATCAGCATAACGGACAGGCTGCCTGTTTAAATAGGCCATGACACACTGTCAGCTACCCTGGCATGTTACTTCTGCCAAGGAATGCTGCTTGCCTTCCCCTTGAGTGTGTGAATGTCAGCAAGCTAATTACAACACTTTAATCACATTTGAGTTTATACAGCTTAGCAAGTCTATTAGGGCCAAGCACTAACCCCTGAAGTGAAGGAGCATCCCATGGCCTTAGGTAGCTTTGAACTTCTCAGGGTACCTTCTCATCCAGGACAAATTATTTTTTTCTTTAAAGCTTGACTGACATCATTCATTTATAAATATCCAACTATCCCAATGCTACCTTTTAATACACAGTATTTTGCATATAGCAATGGAGGACAGAAGGGGAGCAGCAAGAAGACAGCAGCCCTGCAGTTAACAGCACTTACACATGCACTTTCAGGCCATGCGATGGATGAGTAAAGGATGCCTTAATGCCACCACAAGTCCACCTACACAGAAGTATCCTGCTAGATGAGGACTGACACAAAACTGAAACAAAGACACTATTACTGGCAAGACTCTTCCAGTTCACACAGACCATGAAATTTTACAACAGTTTCCCATCTGTGAAACTTCAGATAGGCTTTGCAGCATCTTCGGGTTACCTTGGAGTAGGGAAAGAATGAATTTCCAGAGTGCTAACTGCTCTGCTAGCAAACCTTCCACATTTAAGACATTTTAAACTAGTAGTTTCAGGTATTTTTAAAGTTGAAGTATCACCAAAAGTAACAGGTCATCCATCTATAGTTGTTTCACACTTATTCCTTTCCTGATTCATTCTTCCTTCTCAAGAATGCACATTTGCACATTTTTTCAATATTTTTTATTAATTCAAAAAGCATTCTTCTTTGATGAATAATTATTAATCTATGGTAATTTATCTTTTGAAATGCCACCCATTCAGGTAAGGCAGTAACTTGGAATACCTCAAAGGGCTGAAATTGTCTTACTTACTGTTCAAGTAATGAGTGTGTCCTAAAGCTGATAGGCTGATAGGAGTGAGGGAAATGACAAAACTAACAAAGTAAATCAAAGTACTCCATATTATTTTTTTGCAAAACATGTATTTCTGATCACAGTTTTCAGTTTGTCTCCTATCATTGTATAGATGCATATTTTACTCTTGGTCCCTTTGGTATCAGCACACTACAGTTCCTCTGTAACCAAAACCACATGGCCTGGTGAATATGCATGGGACTGAAAGCAAACACCACAGCAAAAACCCAGCATATGTGGTGATACCGGGACAATTGAATCCTGTATTCCCAAAGAGAGTGCAATACAGACTCCATCTCAATCTGGAATAATTGTTGATATTCAGGCAGCAATATTTAAAGGCTATAAGCCCCACCCTGGGCTGCCTAATTGTTAACATATAGGACATATCAGACCAAAGAAAGGTATAGTGAACACTAACTTGGTGTCAAGAGTTCCTCTGCCCAACATAAGATTGAAATATAATAGTATCTCTATGGACAAAATCAATTTTATTCTCTTTATACCAAATAGAAACTACTGGGGTTTCACATAAAATCAATTTTATTCTCCTTATACCAAATAGAAACTACTGGGGTTTCACCATTTCCCTACCCCAGAGATGCTGTACAAGTGTCAGGCTCCAGCTCCTCACAGCCCTGCCCTGCCCAGACACAGACTTCAACAAGCTGAGGCCTGACCTGTGGGCTGATGTTCCATCCCAGCCTCATATCGTGCCCTTCTCCAGGGAGGTTCCTGATAATCTGGGCATCCCCCAGCCGTGCCCTGGCTGGCAGAGATGAGGTCCACAGCTCTCAGGTCCCTGTCCCTTGGGGTGCAGGTGGTCCTCACTGTGCCCAGATACTGACATATCTGATCCTCCTCAGTGCGTGAGTGAGTACATGCCAGCCTTCACTAATGTTTTAGGTACCTTGTTCACTAATGAAGAAAATTATATCAAGAAAATTCTAGATTCATGCCCATATGCAAGATAGCTGGGAGCTAATGCAGCTGATGAGGAGACAGGAATCAAACAGACTGCTTCTGGTTTGTCTGGCAAGAAAGGCTTTTATCTGGTTCACTTGTTCATGTTTCTTTCATTTCTCCAGTAAGATCCCAAGCATGACGAAGACAAATATTTTCCAAGGAGAAGCATAATACCCTTCTTGAGTGCTGAACCACTGAAAGGATGTACCCTATGTGCAACCAAGGATAGGAATTTGATAAGAAAATAAAATTCTTGTAATCTTTTTTCTAGTTCCATTAATTCCTCTCCACAGATCATGTTAATCCAATAATGATTATGTCTCTCTAAGATTCTTTTTAAGCAGATTCCTATCAAGCATACAAAAAGTGGTTTCAATTGCCCTTTCATCCTCTGATGTTTTTCTATTACAGTTATTAGGATGCTTCTCATTAGCAAGCAGCTTCTAAAGACTAATTCCTTAATAACTTCCCTCTATACTCCCTACCTCTCTAATTACTCTCACCACCCCTCATACCATTATTAAGGTATCCTCATTATAAATTCCTATTTATTCACTTTTTCACAACAGCATTTTTGAAGGACCAAGGCCAGAAATTTTTGTTCAGGTATAGTCAAAAGTAATAAGCTTTGAAAGTCCACCCCTTAAATATTTCTGCCTATCCCATAAAGATCGTTAGGTGACAACCAGCCAGATCGTGACCATGCACTGTGCCTGAGGGCAGACCTACAGCATTCAACAAGGGACATGCCGAGATCTAAGTCCAAAGGGTTTAGCTCCCTGCAAACTTCTTAGCTAAGTTCTGGAAGCAACATAGCTACCGGACAGCTGCAGAGTTCTGCAACATCCTAGGCTCAGTCTGTCTCCTATACAACTTGAGTATCTCTGTACTGAATCTACAAACTGGGGTGCCTGCACCAACTTAGATGGGACTCAACAGATCTGAATGGTGTTTTCATAACCTTTTAGTGGCAATAAGGTAAAATAAAGAACAGGGGCAGAAGGGGAATTGGGACATATAGAAGACAACCTCCAGAGGCACAGGCAGAAGATTCAATAATCAGATATTTACCATTGTTTTTCTTCACAGTTCAAATAGTCTTTTCCTGTCTTCAGCAACAGGCAAGTCTTCCCCATAGTTAACTCAAAATACTTCTTTTTTTCTGCTCCATCTAGAGCTTTCTTCTAGCACATGAAAGCCATCCAAGTTCTCTTCATTTTACAAGGAAACACCCTGAAAAGACAAGCTGGCTTATGACACGAGTGAACTTGTCAAGCAGCTGAAAACTGAAACATCTTTACAGGATGTTCCCTTTCTTGCTTACCTTCAGGACAAAAGTATTTCAGAACGCTAATAGAAAGTGCCTATCCAAAATATGAACTCTTACTAACATAATTAGCCAGTAAAGCCTGACTAGCTTATTTCCAGTTCTGCTTCCTTTTCAGCTTACAGGTTAACTCTAATGAGTTGCTGTAGTCATTATGGGACATTGATAATATGACTTAGTTCCCAGGTGGGTGATTTGGTTTTTTATACTATAATCACTCACACTCCTAAATTAAACCCTGAAGGAAAAGGAAGAAGAAAGCAGCCTGCCAATAACCTAAGTAACCTACAGTAACAAGCTACTCTATCTTACGTCATTGTGCAGGGCTCATTATGGAAGCAGGGCTCATTGCAAAAGTTTTTACTCATACACAGTGCACAGGCTACATAGTGTATGAGTACTACATAGGCTACATAGAAACAGAATATGAATACCCTTATCAGGTCCATAGGAATTACTTTGCAAAAATACATTGGTGGTCTTCCTGCCTGCCTCTCCTAATGATAGATAATATCTAATCTTTCTCAGACACATAACCTCCCTACTATACACTCTAAGTATGTGTTATTACAAAGGCAAGATTACTTCTTTTTGACCCTAGCTACTAATAAGTTTATGCCATAGCATATAAGAACACACACACACAAAAAAAAAAAAAAAGGTTTTGTAACATGTTAGCAGGTGTAACTACCAAAGTTATTTTTCTTTCCAACTTTATGTCCAGTCACTTGAGTCCTGCTTCCTTCTTTGTTCAAATGGATACAGTACAGCTAAATATACTTGCAGCACCTGAAGTTTCATTGTTTTTTAACATATTCTAGATTTCACTTCTCTCTAACTCTGAAAACTCAAAAGTGTCAAGATACAGCACACAATCACCATTGTGCTAAGCTGTAGATCACATAAAGCATTAAATATGAAACTAGCTTCACTGCAACAAATGTCCTCAGAAGCAGAAATGGGCTTTAAAAATCTACAGTTAAGAACTGCTTCAGGTAACTTTGGGTGATATGACTGCACTGTAAAATATTTGTTATTGTTAAGAAAAAATTATCTGTCATTGTGTTAGTATTAAACAGACCTGAACCAAAACCCAAGAGATGAATACAAATTTAAAACACTTTGAATGTCCCTAGGGATTTGCACTGCTTTCATCACTATATTACTTCTGAAGTCTCTGAATGAACTTCACAGTCTGGACTCAGCAATTAACATTTGTGCTACCAGTGCTAACATTTGCAATGGGTTATTGGAGATCATGTTGGAAAGGATGTCTCATCCACACTAAATTTTAACAGCTTCCTCATATAGTGCCATACATCTTCCTTATAGGTTTTCCAAAGGATAATCCTTGGAAAGACTGAAATTTAGGCAAAGGGATAAATTTTCCACCTTGTAAAGACCATGACACTCCTTTCCCCTTCTCCTTAAAAGACTGTTCCAGAGTCATCCCACAGTAGAAGGATACAAGCCAGTTCCTAGGTGTCCTTTTTTTTAATTTTTTTCGTATTCTCCAAAGCACAGAGGTGAATCAACACAGTCATTCTGGAGAGAATGTTCTGTGTTCATCTAAAGGCTTTCAGTAATCAAATAACATTAATTATAAATAACTACTTAGCAGTAGTCAGGTGCTGACAGCACACAGCACAGCAGCCAGGACTCATGGAAGTTGCCACATCAGTCTGAAATCACAGTTGTAAAGGCAGATGCAGCATTTGGTGCAATACAGAAATGCATTGCTCCAGCCAGGGAGATGTCCCTTTTGAGATCATTGACATGAAGGCATGAAAGCACAATGGTAACCCCCTGATATTATCTTCAAGCAGCAGTTCATTGTTCTGTGCAAGTCAGTTGCAATCAGAGTTTTCTGTACCAGCATTCCCAACTACATCCCTGGAGTCAGTTTCACTCCCATACATACAGGAGAATCCAAAGGAACTCCCTCTTTATTGACAAATCTGTTTCAATACTTTACATCACATGGCCTTAAGACACTCACATGCTAAGCTGCTAAACCCTTTTAATTTACCTTTGCAAAATTATTTCCAGTTACCCAGTGTAATGCCTAAAGACATACTGAAATCTCAGGAGATTATAAGATTTCTTCAGAATGTATGCCTTCTAATGACACAGTATGCCTGTTTTTTACTTTAGTGTCACCTCTTTTGAGGTGAAAGAAGGAAAAATATTGCGTAAAATAAAGAACTAAAACTGGTACATAGTTTAGGCTAGAGAATAGGGGCTATTTAGAAATCTTTGTACTGCAGTCAGTATGCAGGAGTCTACCACCTTGCTGAGGTGCTTTGCTTGTTGCACCTGTTATGTGTTCTGCTTTCTGCTAGAAAATAAAGCATTTTGCATATCTTTTAATAGTGACATTTCCATCAAGGGGATAAAAGCATTCTTGCTTTTATTTTTTAAAATTCTTTAATCAGCCAGCACACGTTATACCTAAGGAGTTGAGGGAAATACAGATCTCTGCAACACTGCCATGAGAAACACATCTGAACCAATATCCCTGAAAAGAATTCACTCTGCTAACCAAACACATTCACCTGTCTTTTGCAGACAGATGAAGGATGTGATCCAAGCCAGCCCTGATCCAAAAGCTGTATAGTCACATCAGCACAATACCACTTCCTGTTGAAGCAGGTTTGGCTTCTTAGGTACGGTACCAGGCTGCCCAAAGGTACAGGTACACAGCTTCTGACTCAGAACTGACCTGTCTTCTGTGAACACAGAGCATAAACAGAGAGAGCACACATCTATCTGCAAAGAAACAGAAAGATTTTGTTTTGCTTAGGAGGGGCAGAAGCACACTGCTGTCTACATGTGTGGGCAAGGGAGAGGAATTAATTAAGCAATGGGACACTGTCTGTGGAAGACCAAGCTACAAGGAAACTCAACAAGTTCAGGCTGAAAAGTAGGAGAATGCCTTTTCCATCACAGCAATGATACTTCAACAGCTTCTTAAAAGAAATATTAAGCTTACAAATTTGATTCACTTACAGAAAGATTTTTAATAACACAGTCAGGTGGATGGACACAAGAATCCATAGGATAGCTCTGTGTTCCTTCAAACAGCCTGAAACCACAATGAGGCTCTGGTGTGACACCCCAGAGGGAAACACATTGTGCTCTTGGAATGCTCAGACATGAATTCAGGTCTGAAAATATGAGGCTGGAGTTCACTTTTGAAATATATTCTTTAGGTATCTCATATTTCTTATCTAATCTCTATTTTCTCCAGGCTGATACGTTTCTACATGGGATCCTAGAAGATACTTGATACTCTACTGAAGTCTTCTAAGATCCATAATACTCTCCTTGTCTAGAGTTTTAATCAATGAAGGATAACTCTATCCTTAATAGACTTTCTTGAACATTCATCCATTTCCCACGTATTGCTACACATATTTACTTCCTTCAAAACTGATTCTAAAGTTTTGTATACTAGACCAGACTAAAAATACTGTAGTTCTTAAATGCCAGTTATTTTCCATTTTTATCTGTATACTTCATCATCATTCATTTACATAAAATTCACAGTAATAAACCTGTAAATTAATATAACACTATGTTCAGAATTCTTGGCTGAATATTTATTTCAAAAGTCCCACCTATCATTTTCTGTTTCATTCCTGGTTGCATTGTTTAATTTTGGAGGAAGAATTAAGAACTTAATATCATTGGAAAATTTACAGATGATGGGCAAATGTCTTGCAAATCTGTTACCTCTCACAAAAATTTCTTCCAGGTATTAAGTTCTGATTTTCTCTGCATACATTTTTCATTATTCTAGTGAATATATTTAACCATTATTTACAATGTTTTGGGGACATGGTTTCTGTTTCCCAGACTTTAAAATGACTAGGAATGAGCCTGCTCTTCACACTACCCATTGCAAGGATTTTGTAAACAATTTTGTTCCCCACTGAGTCAGCTGATCAATGAACTACCAGCCATTTATCCTGACTTCCAAGAATTACTCTCTTCTTCACATGGCCTACCTGAATCAGTGTCTCCAGCTCTAGCTGGGTTACACAAACATGCTCCCGAAGAAAGTCAGCCTTCTCTAGGGCGATTGTGTTCTTCTGCCTGCTTTCAAAGGGCTGCTCCAGTGCACGGAAGACGAGTCCTCCCGTCACCAGGTAAACTACCACCACGACAAAGATGGCCACCACTGTTTTCCACTTCATGACTGTCTGCAGGCCTTGAGAAGGGGCTTCCATGGTAGCAACGACAGTGGCTCGGGAGGAAACAGAGAGTCGTGGAGCTGGATAATGCCCGTTAGTTTTGGGCTTGGGTTCACAAGCTGGCACTGGTGGTGAGGGAACAGCCACTGAAACACAAAGTAAAAAAATCTTATTCAAAATCAGATCTCTAAGAGTATGACCTTTATCTTCATACATAACTTTCCTAAATACCATTTTCAAAGACTCTCACATAAACTGTGCTATTTACATAGATGCGATTCTTCTCATCTGGAAGGTTCCATGTGTGTTTTGTCCATCCATACACAAGCCACCTCAAGGATTTGCTTCACCCATTACCTCTAGAACTGGACAGGCCAGCTGCAAAAATTTCAGAAGGATTCAGAAAACCATTTTTCCAGTAAGAACATGAAAGTTTTGACTAGTTAGGATATAAATTACATAAGATGGTGTTTAGTGAGGGACCCTGGCAGTGATTTATGTCCTTAAATCATAATACTCATAGCATTAATAGTGCTAGAAAATTGAACTGTAATGATCAGTGATCACTACCTGGCCTGGTATTGATAAAAACAGAAAATGCTTTGCAAACCACAATGCTGTTTGGCTCGCCAACATAAGCAGGCCTATATCATTTACATGCGTTCACAAAACTATCACTTCTGAAAATGTTCTTAAAGCCTGGAAGCTTCAAAAATTTTAGCATAAATCGTTCTTCAGCCAAAACATACTAGATATCTGAGGTCAAAGTCTCTCACATGCCAAGCACAGAGATGGACCTCCCAGCTTGAGACTGAGACACTGTACAGTCCATGTGACCTTAGCAGTACATGAGAGCTAATAAGCCCTGACTTCCAGCCAGACTTATTAGCCTGACCACTGTGTCAAGCTACCAAGGCATCCGAATCAAAGGTGGCTCGCCTCCAAATATTTCAGGTGTCTCAGCATCGCACCTCCCCATTCTCTACTGCCAGTGTTAGCAATAGTGGGATGAGGCCGGTTTTCTCAGCATCCACTGGTATAATGGTATCACATGCAGGCTTTAAAGATGTTGGATTCATTTTAAACCAAATCCCTGCTGTAATCTTACCATGGTACAGCTGTCACTGTCCTGTAATTTCTTTGAAACTGGATTGATTTATTTCATATCAGACCTAAATCAGATTCAGTTAAAATACAGTCACTTAAGCTGCATTCTCTGCAGTTATTCCAAAAGTGTCTTTGCTGTTTTGCTCAGAAATTAAAGCAGAAGGATTCACAATATCTGATCAGAGTGTCACTGTAAATTGATTCTATACAATCTGAACATACAACATGATTACACCTTGAGTTTGAAGTGGGCTACAACTCTTTCCCAATAGAAACCATTTTATGATACCGAATAATTTAAGAACTCATCCGTTTACTATAGTCACATTTTCCTAGAAGCAATATATCTCTGGAGCATTGCATTGAGAATAGAGCTTCTAGCTTACTTGCTAACCAATAACTAAAGAAATCTATAGTTGCTTTATGCTTACAGTCAATATTTCTTTTCATATGTGATTTGGAGACTCCAGATACTAAACAGATTAGAAAGGATCCAGGATCAGAGGAAAAGCTTCTGTGGTTCATCCCCTTTTTGTCTCAGTTTTGCAACACCCTGTGGCAAGATGTTCAGTTTGACCATCAAAAGGTCATTATGGTTCCCAACACTTATCAGCCAGGATGGAGAGACATCAAACTTAAGAGGATACTTTCTCTTTCTTCCACCTATATTTCACATAAGTTCTAAGTACCTGAAGTGACAGTAGGGAGAAGAGTGATGGTATTAGAAAGAGGTAACTTTTTTCATAAAAGAGATCAATTATTTCATCCTCTAAATCTCCTGAAAGGAAAGGATTCTTGTAATAAATACAGTGAGTTTCAGCAGAAATGTCAGAAAAGTATTCAGAGGAAACATAAGATAAAGAGGTTGTGTGAAGCAGTTAGAACATCACTTCCCCTACAGGCAAATATCTTAAATCTGAGTCACAACATCTCCTTACTGAACTAAATAAATCTGAGTATTCCCAGAAGTGGCTCAACTGATGTAAATCAGTGTAACATAACTTCCATGGATTCCATGGAATTCAACTCATTTACATTAGTTAGAGCAAATACTGTGTGTATTGTGAATCAACACAAATTCTGCAAGCCTGAGGGCTGATTTTGTACACTTGAGATTACTCAGCAAAATAGTCTCAGGATCTGAAATGCACATGGTAAGAAGAGAGCAGAATTCGCATGACAAAAACAGCATGCTACAATTTTTTGAAACAGCTATCCACCTTACCATGACTGTCACAGTGCAGTGTAGGCTAGGTGAGATTTTCAGTGGTGAGAAATGCCTGACTTTGATATCCCACAAGTGGTAAATCAAGAGGAAGGAAGTCAAGAGCTAGTAGAGTTAGAACAGCTTTTGTGAGATTTCTTTTTCTCTCTGCTAGGATAAATGTTTTTTCTTATTCAAATCATATTTCTGGCAAAGTGTTAATAACAGTTTTACAGTAAAATCATGGCCTGTTTGATTCTATCTTCGAAGGAAAATGTGTTGTACGGATTCAAGAACAAGATGGGAAGTTCAGGGTAGGGAACAGAAAATGTTCTTATAAATATTGTGTCATTTAAACAGCTCAATGGATTATTGTGCTCAGCTCACTTATTCTAAAATAAAAGATAAGTTTTTTCCTAAGAACTGTGTTAAAGTCTTTTGTGTTCTGCTATTAGTACAACCTACCCTAAGTGTATGTAGATATGGTATAAAGTGGTGTATGTGATATACATTAAAACACAGGAAGACTCTACTAAAGCAGTTAGTTGAGCAACTGATGTGTAACAGAGATGCTTTTACAAAGCAGAAGGCACAGCCAGTGTAGATACTCCATCTAGCAGCTGTCTCCCTCTTTATGACAAGAGTGGGGCTAGTGACTTAAGCACATGGTAAGAAGTCAGAAGTCCAGATTTCTAACTGGAACTCTGTCTCCATGAACCTGTGCTCTCAGGAAAGTGCTACCATTTGCCTTTAATCCATTGCTTCACCAACTAGAAAAAGATAAAATAGTACTTAGTTTTCTAATAAAATGTCCTGTAAGAATCCATGTCTGTGCAATTTTTGAACACACATATGAACATAAAAGCTATATAAATTTCCAGAAGTTTAACAGGCAGAAGTTTTACTAAAATCAAAGAATAAACTACAATGGCAATTCAGCAAATGTGCAAAGGTATACAGAGTTTTAGAAAATTAAGGACTACATAAATTCTTGGATCTGTAGAGATAGTTTAGACTATAATTTAAGACAAATATAGAGCAAAAAAGAGCATATGTTTACAATAAATGCGGAACACAATCCCTACTTTATTTATCCATGTTTTTTTCAAAACAAGCTGCTGTCAGAACACGCTTTTCCCAAAACAGAGTCTCATCCACGTGTGTTTGTTAAATCATATCAAAGAAGACTTAATCTGCCTCACTGAAAGCAATTATGAATCCTCATTCATTTGCATGCACTGAATTAATAGACATGTAACCACAAAAGAACACACCAGTGTTTCAACACAGGCCTTACTCCAAGAAGAGGAGGCCATTGGGAAAGAAAGGTGAGTTCCTGTTTGTTTCGATAAGATTCAAAATAAAGTGACTGAAGATATTGATGTTACAAGTCAAATTAAAATGTTAGGATCTGTATAGTTGTTCACCTCCAAGAGTACTGCACTACCTGCATTTGATGTACTAAAACACAGCAGAGCCAGGGCTCCCACTTGTATGTGAGGAGCTTAAATACCTAAGGTTTCTGCTAATATTAAAGAAAATTAAGGAATCAAACACTCACTGACCATCAAGAAGACTGGGGCAAAGCTTAACTCAACTTAAGCAGTCAGCATTTGAACTAGATGACCAATGTACATTCCTTCCAACTGAAATATGCTATTCTAAAGCAAAACACTGGAATGTAAAACATTGGAGGTATTGAAGTGATGCACTATAACATATTGCCTCATGTTAAAAAATCTCCTTTATTACTGCAGGCGTGCTTTGCTTTAGGAAACGGTCATGATTCTAAGAACAGGTTAGACTAATTTCTGCCAGAAATATTTAGGTATATTTGGCCCTGCTTTAGAGCAGCAGGGTGAGCTAGATAACCTGTGAAAATGTCTCTGTGAAAATAGTTCTAAAGGGAAAATCTCCAGACAAAGAGGTTCAAAGTACAGCCACCTCAGAAGGACAGCTTCAAATAAGATCCAAAATGCTGAGAAGATATTCAGCTGGCTTTTGGCTATGAAAACGTTAAGCATGGCTTTGCAACACTGACCTATATCCTGGGAATTATCTTACCCAATATGCCAAGAACACAGAGATACCAAAGAAACCTGGTTTTAGAGGAGAGTTTCTCAACTGGTTTAAACCAAATACAATATTTTTAAATTAACATACCCTCCTCTGTGGTATCGATGTCCCAATTTTTATCTGTGAAAAAACGTAAGTCAGGTTTAATGGAGTGTCTTATTTAGTACTTTATTTTGTTCCATGTTTCTGTGCTACATGAGCACACAGGAATATATGTACATTTTAATAAGAGTATAATATTCTTGACACATCTGATGCAAGTGTTGCTTTCACAGGATTCAGCACAGAATTAGACTGAGGCCATATATACTCATGCATTCATAAACACAGCAGCTGACTTTAAGTTTAATACATGAGTCAATCAAAAATGAAACTGGATATTTAATCTCCAGTTTTAGTGGGTCCATCCAAGGAATACATCAAAGTACTTTCAGCTCAAGTAAAAAAGTTCTCTGATATGCATCTGAAGGTAAGTACTGTCATGTTTCTGCAAAATCTTCATAATACAGTGGGAGGTTTTTTTAAAGAAAGGAAATTATGCTTTCTTCAAACATTTACATAGTCAAGCACTCAAAATTTCCCATGGAGTCTTCCTTATCTTTGTCTTTAAAATAGAAGTTTAGCTTGAATTATAAAGTAATCTTATTACACAGTACAGTTTCACTGAGAAAATTCAAGAGCAAATCATCCTTCCTACAGTTTTCACCAGATCCTACACTGGGTTATCAGCACTTGTATATCCTTTCTGTAGCACTACCT